GCAGTGGCATGAAAAGCCTTCAGAAGGCGTACGTATCGATCGGTTTGGGAGCAGCCAAAACACGCGCAAAACAACACTGCAGATCAGTGAGCATCACGTGGCCGTCGTGGTCTTCCCCGAAAATGCGGTCTCGATGGGCAAATCCCCGCAGCCACATAGTGATTGTTCATTGTGCAAAGTCCCTATAAGGAGATGACGTCTGGGAGCTATTAAGTCAATTAGCCTTTATGATCGCAAAGTCTTGGCATAGTCGCTATTTATAGTTTTTGGTCTTCACACCAATGAACCAAGACTGGAGCTCACTGTTAAGAGCAGAATCCCCGGGAAGAGTTAAATCCTTTACCCTAACTAGGTCTCCTGCATGACATAGCTCACTGTTAGATGAGAGGAATTCCTATGTAAAGTACATTCTTTTACCTTTCCTCGCATGTTTTTCGCCGTTCTCCCTTTCCATCTTTTTGTTGCTGTAATTGGATTTCTATGCGTATATGTGCTATACCCAGTAGATCTATTAATAAGATTTAAATAAGTATATACATATGTAGTTGTTTAAACAAAGTGGTCTGGGTGTCCTACTGGGCGACGAAAATAGCATGTCGCTGGAGCTTTTGTACCATACGCATTCACTCCTACGCTGGTTTCCTCTTTTGACTTTCCCAATAGTCCTATGGGGATACTTTTTGTGTAATGTCCGTTCCATTTTAGCTGTGAGAGTCAACAGCTCATGCAATCACTCTCACTCCCTTTCTTCTATTCCCATGCCTTTTTACCTACATACACCAAGCACCCATATATTGTTGATCTACTTAACTCCTTATCACTCCTTTCCACTTCTTGTCACTCATGATCCCATACCGAACATTGTCATTGAACTACTTCAAATTAAAATGATGCGCTGCGGAAGCTATTTCGCCAAAATCTCTTCTTCTAGGTAAATGATGTGTTCCTTCATGCCTTTTTACATGCCTTGTCATCCTTTGTTTATTTTTGGAAAAGATCTCGTGGTAGCGTCTCTGGGCCGAGTTTTTGCCCAGACGAATTGGGGAAACTCATCATCGTGACACCATTTTCACTTTTCGCCAGTTGAAAGTACATTTGCATAAATGGGTTGAGAAATCTGGCCGCAGTTTTGTATAGCGCTAGTTGGTTATATTGAATATTATGACTCTCACCGTGTTCTCGACAACGCTCGTAAGTTCTTTTGCTCTAAACACCCAAAGTAAACTTCTTTACGCGTTCTTCTCTATCTTGTTTGCGTAGCTTCTTTTCTTTTTTCTTTCATAGTCACCTTATGACGTTCGCAATTCTGTTGTTCATCGTCGGTTCCGGCCTGTTGAAGCGAATATGGCTAACATTAGCTGCTTGTTCCCCTTTGTGTTCCTCGCTGTTATCAGCTGGCTGCCGCCTTTTCATTGTGTCATTTGAATGAGTAGTTACGTCTTTTGCAAATATATTTCCATCCTCAATAACAGCTGTGTTATTTAGATCGATCGACAAGTGCTGATTGCATTTGATTAATTTCTGGCGGATCGCGAAGCCGTGCCGGTTTTTCTGGTGGGCCCGTCATGCCCCTTTTTGGTCTACGGTTCAGTTCCCATGGCAAGTTGCATCTTTTCTTGGTTAAATAATGCTGCACTGCTGAACGTTCATTCATTTTTATATTCAGCTTTTACTTCATTGTATTATGAATAACGTGGTAGTCATAAGGGGATGACTGATGAAGTTCACTGCAGGAATCCCTCCCATAAGTAGCGTGGGGCAACAACGAGCTGTGGATCAGACGAGACCTGCTCTGTTTAACTTCTTTTTGCTTATCACGAAATGATAAATGTGGCTATTCATGCCCTTAAGAAAATAATAACTCTCCCGTACTCTGTCTGCGGCTATTCCCACCTCTATGCTCAACGTGCAGTCTGCGCAACTAGTTCTCTCGCCTGGGATTCTCTCTCTGCACGCATGTGTGGTCCCTCATTGCTCCGATATTGTGGGAATGCCGCTCTGTCACCCTGTCTCTGGCCTTATGTGGTTTCTGCAGAGACGGAGAGTCAGTCGCTGGCATGTCTCGCTCTCCAACGGCCCGTAGTCCATGCTGTGTATGCTTCAATTTGAATAGAAGTACGATTTATTAATTACAAAGCTTATTGATCAAAATATGCAAAATTTCATAGCTGGCGAATCCTATAAAAAGGGTTTTATCATGTTGCTCCCCGGCAAAATTGAACGGAAATTGAAGTTATTGAACGAGGTGCCATTCCTGCGTCATTAATAACAATTGATCAATGTACGATTTTTGAAGAATTTTGAATTATTAGACTTGTAATTCCAGACGAAGATGAGCGAGCTCAGAAAAACACATTCACAAGATGGATTAACCTTCACTTAGAAGAGGTACATTGCTTCCGTATCATAAAAAAGTTCCAACGTCAAGTTCACAGCTACTCATCTTCGATTATTTAGCACAGCTCATCTGGACGGGTGAACGATTTGTTCGAAGACATAAAAGATGGTGTGCTGTTGTGTCATCTTATCGAAGTTCTTACGGGCGAGGCACTTGTAAGTAAATGCTTCAACTTTTTCTAGGTTTATTGTTTCTTCTTCCATTAGGTCATTATCTGTCTGCATTGCCTGCTGTTTGCAGGCCACATCACACTTGACCCTTCAACCTCTGTTGATGTTTATCTTAGAGTTACAACGCAGCACAACCTTTTGTGCAGTTTATTCACTGTTTTTTTTTTAGTTTGACCTCTTTAAGTGCTGTGCTATAACAACTGCTTGATCAGTTTTGATATTTTTTCAAGATACCGTAGTTCATAATCGAACTCGGGAGTTTAATCGTATTCGCTGAATTTCTTTCCTTTCTTTTCGTTTTTTCATGGGTGGGCTCTCTTCTGCATCCCATCTGATGCGGAAGATTTGCGTTTAGTAACTTCTTTATAACCTCTCATGTTTCTTGAATCACTTTTTTTTTCACTTTCGCGCTTTCTTACATTATCACAACATTCGCAAGATAAACGACATCAATGATGCCGCTAGATTTTGTTCACTTTCCGGCGTCTTCCCATGTCGTATTATTCTTTGTGTGCCGATATGGCTGGGGAATATTGTTTGCTTAGCGCTCTCAAAGGTCTTGATGTAGAATCGTTTCCTTTTTCGTTTTTTATATGACCTCAATTGCATCCATCTCTTGGCAAATTTATTGTCGTTTGTGATTTGCCATGTACAAGAAAAACGGTTTGACATAATGCACCCTATGGGCCTAATGCTCCATTAATATTTCATGATTTTCACCTACGGGCAATCCATCATTTGATTTAAACCATTTGCTTCATATTTGATTATTTCCTTTCACCTTCAGGACATGGCACAGTGGTTCTGCTTTTCTGTAATTCTTGTTTGCGTCGTTGTGAGGTTATCTGTTCAAACTTATAGTCCTGATATTAGAGTCTCATAATTTACGACGAAATATCATTGCAGAACTAATCATCTTCCTCAAAAGGTGACATGTAGAGGATATTATCATTATTTGAGACCATAAGGGCTACAGGTGACTTTAACAGCTTTTCCATACCCATGTGATGGAAAATACGGCACATTCGAAGCGACTGAGTATTGTGTTCTTGCATCTTTCGAGCCTACAAACCTAATTCTTGTTAAAAGAAGTTAACAAGAAAATTTGGTTCAGAACTTGAGCTTTTTTGAAAACATTTACTTTGTATGCTCAAATTTTCAAATATGTAGGTGGCTAACCTCATGTTTCTCGTGCTCATCAAATCTACTTGGTTCCTATAATCAGTTCTATTTTCACCCTTTTGCTCTGTCGCAAATTTTGTTTATTATTTGTTAGTGCTCTTACACCAACACTCCTTTTTTCTTCATTTATTCCCTCAAGAATGTTTCATATGATTTATTCCACTGGCCACGACCTTTCCTTTGCTAATTCTGCTCCTTACCTCGCAGTGCGGCAGCCAGGTGGGCTGCGAAGTGTCTCCAATTAACCTGTTGGACGGCGTTTTTCAT